GATGAACAAATGGCACACGTGAGTTTTTAAAATTTTCATAAAAAGCAAAAAAAAAGAGAAAATTGAAAAAGTGATTTAAAACCTAGGAAAGTATTTGCGTCGCAGTTAATATATATTTTTAAGTACCAAATATCTCTACAAAAAAAAAACACCGATCAAATTATACAGTTTTTTCTAAAAACCGATAAAATTTGATCGAAAATAAGTCGAAAAAAATATCTCTTAAAAATATTATGTTATGAAATAAAGAACATTTTTTTAAATTCAAAATTCAGATGATTTTATTTTCAAACGTATTTTGTATAAATGATATAAATAATAATGTGTAACAAGTAACCTGATGAGTGACTAGCCAGCGAATAGTTTGCTAGTCACTACCTATGGGTAAATACGTCTTTTCTCATCCAGCTATCTTTTTCCAACCAGGATATAATTCAACGTTTCATGTTATACATAACTTAAATTTTAATAAAAGAATAAATTTTAACATAATATGACATTTTTTTTTACTTATGTTTTAAAAATATTAAAAGGACACTTATGTATTACCATACTATACGAAGATTTTACGGTATACAAAGAAAATACAGAAAAGAAAAAAAAAATCGAAATTTTAAGGTTCCAAGAATCTGAAATAAAATTGGAAACAAAGTTGAAGTACAAAAAAAAAGGTAGTTAAATTATAAATCAACTAGAATTAGTTATAGAATAGATTAAATGAAAAAAACTCTTGCAATTTTTGAAGATGATGAATATCTATCATCACTAGTAACAGATTGTACTGCAGTTGCAACCATTCTTGCAACAACTTGGAACCTGAAATGACCTTACCTGACCACTTGATGCTTTGAAATCTTAACCAAAAACATCTGCTCGGAAAATAACGCAAAAAGTAGATTATTAAAAATTGATACGCCATTGAGTAAACAAATTCGTTGATCTACAAAATTAAAAACCCAGACGCAAACTAACTAAAAAAAAAGTCACTTTAGAAAAAGAGAGAAATTAAGAATTACTTGCTAAGCAATAAAAAAAAATTAAATCTAGCAGTAATAAAAACAAAATGTTATTTTTTATATAAAATCAAACGGCCATAATTTAGAGATGATACTACCCCATTAGTTGAAGTATTATGATCTTTATTGATGATTATCTGGTTCTCCAGATCTTACATTGATCTTTGGCAAAGGTTATTTTAAATTTGGAGTAAAACCTGTTTATAAAAAATAGTTTATTAAAATATCTATAATTATAAAATCTAGATTATTAAACAAGATTATTAGTGTCACGTCTTTGATCATATTGATGTCACTCCTCTCCTGAGGGCTAACTTTTGCATGAGTGCCACCATAAATTTTATTAGACATATTATTTTTATATTTATTATTATATTATAAACTAGTGGGCAGGTAGCTCATACAATCAGTGTCCTCGGTTAATTTTCCTTAAATTAAACCGGATTTAAGAAGTGTTTTAAATCTTGCTTTTAAAGTTGGCTTAAAAAAAACCCTGACCAAAGCTGGCGCGATAGGGGTGTGTGGGGGTGGAAAATTGGACCTAGTTAGTCGGCAAATGTGGACTCCCTTTCGATATAGGTTAGACAGTCGGCAAATGTCGTCATGACAGTCGGCAATTTTTGGAAAACGAGGACCTTTTTTTTTTTTTTTAGTCGGCAAAAGTTGTAATGACACCCCCCCCCCCCCACGTGACACCTACTCGCGCCGGCCCTGACCCTGACTAAATACGATTTCATGTAGATATACACAAACTTGGTTGAGCATTTGCTCCTCTAACTTGTTGATAGCCATAGCAACAGAAAGCTGGCGCTGAATCAAAGTTAATGCTAAATTATTTTCCGTTGTAATCAAATCAATTAAGAAAGGAAAATATATTTGTTTTTATGTGTTTTGCCTATTGCAATTGTCGCGCAAATCAAATTTTCCATCAAACCCCTGATGAGTCGTTTTATAGTGACCAGCTATATTCTAAAGTTTATATTCTCATAGAGGAAAGTCATTGCTACTACTTTGAGTTTCAGCTCATGTGGTGGTAATCCAGACATACTTATCGAATTGAGAAGTTCAGTAGAAAAGCCAGTAATTTCTACAATACCTTCGAACTCGAATAATTAAAACTAAAAACTATGTGTGTGTGTGTGTGTGTCTACATGCAAACAGAGCCGTAGCAATGGGCCTGCGAGAGGTGTGGTCACACAGGGCAAAGTTTTTTTAAATTATATTTTATGAAAATATTGTAATTATATTAAGTATATATCAAATATATATCAAATTGTTATATAAATGCAATTAACTTTAAACAATATGTTGTTATATAAAATTGTAATTGTATTATATTATATAAAAATGTAATTGTTATATAAAATGTAATTATTATATAAAATACGATGTTGTTATATAAAATATAGTTGTTATATAAAATGTAATTAACTTTAAACAATACTTTTGTTATTTTTTTATGCTTTTGTAGTTTTCTTCCAGAAATATAACATTAAAATGTTTTCTTTTTTTTACTCAATGAGAACTTCTCTCTTACAAATTTATAATCATAATTTATACTAAATCACATACCTTAAATATTACCATTACAACCCACATAAAGATATTTACAATTTCACATAAACCATATAAACACATTAGCAATTAGATACAAAACCGTACAAACATATTAACAACAATTATCAAATTACAAACCACTTGATGTCATGGAACACTGTATCATGTAACTTAATAAAATTACACTCCTCCTTGACCCTTAAGGGTCATATAAACAGTAATCAATAAATTTTTTAGGCATGCATTGCTCTAAAGCAGTTCTTTGTCTATTTCTTGACTACACAATTAGATAAAAAACCATACAAACATATTAACAACAATTATCAAATATATACGCACTTTAATTACAAACCACTTGGACGTCACGGAACACTGTAACATTAATATAATTACAGTTTTTTATATTACTGGTATTAATTTTTAGTTGCAAATAAAATAAATATGTTGGCTTTCTACATAAATAGAACTCATTTTTCAATTGTGAAACGTATTTTGGGTGTAAAACATTTTTTTCAAAAGTTTTTTCTTCGTAAAACTTTTTTAAACCAATAGTTTTGAAGTAAAAATATAAAAAATATTGATACTTCAAATTTTTAAACAGAAATTTTTCCTTTTAGTAACACGTCAAAAAAAAAATGAATTGAAAATGAATTAATTTCAGAAGTAGAAAGTTTCAAATTTCAATCAGAATCTTTAATTGATAATCTAAAAAGGTTCAATCCACCTGATCTTTTACAACTTATTAATAAATATTCCTTAAAAGCTGCTTACCCATACATTAAAATCTGTCTGAGAATATTTTTGACACTACTAGTGACACTTGCATCGTGTGAAAGAAGTTTTAATAAGTTGAAGATAATAAAAAACTATTTAAGGTTTTCAATTTTACTATTTTGTCCCGATTCTAACTTTTATGACTTTTCCCTATTGTTACAAAACATATATTCTTAAATAAGAAAAGGTTTGGTTTGAGTGAAACGACTAGAATCAATAAAATTGCATGATATTCATTATAATGTTGAAAATTAATGCAAAATCTTAAATTGTTGTCTAAAAAATAATTTAAACTATTTTTCAAACAACAGATTACTGAACCAACCTTACTAAACATACAGAAAGTTTAGTAACGTCGGTTCAGTAACTCCGTTCAATAATATTGTCCAGATTAAATTCAAGAAGTTGCAAAAAAACTTAATGACTTTTTCGTAAAGAAAAAAATCATTTAAATCTTTCTCAAAAAATTTTATTCATTTATTTAGGTACCCCAAGAAGACTTAATGGTCTTGTCACAGAGCACCGCGGAAGTGCATTTAACCAGGAAGTTCACGCCTCCTTCCTTACCGTGACGCGAAAATATGTCCTGAGCTCGTTTTGAACCTGGATATGCTGCTTATAAAGCAAGTCTTGTAACCACTGCACCATAGCCGCATAATTCAGATTCACCTCATGGATAAATCGGAGCTTTCAGTTGATGAACTTCGGCAAGCGATTAGTATGCTGAAACCAAATAATAGTGCAGGACTCAATGAAAATAACCCTGATATTGTAAAAGCAGTCTCATATATTTTAGAAAAACTTCTTTTTATGATTTTTAGTCTTTTTCTAAAAGACGGCATTTTTCCTAACCAAATTATGTCTAAATTACGTCTAAAAGACGGCATTTTTCCTGACCAAGTTATGTCTAAATTACGTCTAAAAGACGGCATTTTTCCTGACCAAATTATGTCTAAATTACGTCAAAAAGACGGCATTTTTCCTGACCAAATTATGTCTAAATTGCGTCTAAAAGGCGGCATTTTTCCTGACCAAACTATATCTAAATTACGTCTAAAAGACGGCATTTTCCTTGACCAAATTAGCAAAAACAATTCCAATTTACAAAAGCGGCGATGACTCGATAAAATCTAACTATAGACCAATTTCCATATTTTCCTGTTTTTCTAAAATACTAGAGCGTATTGTGCATATCAGACTGTACAATCCACGGTTTGTAAATTTGGGACCCTAATATCAATAAAATACCCTATGAAAACCCTTTTAAGGGGGGATAGAACATGCCAATGGGAGTCTATATTGAGTTGTTTTGAAATCGGGGATTAACATCAAAAAGAATTATTTGATCATGATGGTTTTTTAAAAGGGTTGATTTATAAGCCAAATTAAGCTGCCTATTAATGGTACTAAACTTGCTCCCTTAATTTTTTTTATAAAATAAAGATTGTAGCCCATGAAACGTAAAATGTTTATTATTTTATTCATTATTTTTGAAATAATTCTTTATTGAGCGTTTTGATCAGTGCAAGCGTAAAATCGAAGTTTCGAAACTAACAAAAAGAGTAAACAAATATATTCTGGGAAAAGGCAGTACACTTTAAGTTTTTGAAGGAAAACATATTTTTTTGTGAACAAATATTTAAGAATTTAAAGATGCCTACATTTGCCAAAAACCATGAAGAATGTAGAAAATCTGTTTGTGTTATCTGTTTGAAGAAAGGTAATCAAGAATTGACTGAAAACTTCAAAGCTAAAATTCTTCAACAAATTCAGAAAGAAATCAACTTCAATGATGACAGAGTACCATTGGCGACCTGCATCTCCTGCAGATCTCACATTGGAAAGCTGTGTGATGGTAAAACAAATGTTGTGCCTCAGATTTATGACTTTGAATCAATTTCGATCAAGCCTCTTACTCGTTTTTCTACAGTCTGTGAGTGCTTGATTTGTAAGATTGCCAAACTCAAGGGAAAAGAAAGGCATCCATTAAGCAAGGTTCAAGATTCAGCACCAAAAGTTCCCCAACAATCTTCGCAAAATGCAGAAAAGCATTGTACTAAGTGCTTGTCAGTTATTGGTCGTGGACTTCCTCACTACTGCACTCCTGGAACACGCCATGAAAATTTGAGAAGAATGGCTGCCTCTGATCCCATTGGTGCAGAGCAAGTTGCAGCAACAGTTTTGGCATCAAAAAGTGCATCTCCTCATGGCACCATCAGACTCAGTCAACCTTGTGGAAAGTTATTGCCATTGAGAAAAGGTAATAGTGCTTTTGAACTTTAAATGATTAAATAAAAATATAAATATTATCTATTTATTTTTCAAAAACTTACTTAATTTAAAAATAAAATTTTCTCTGCAAATATATTTGCAGAGAAAATTTAATTTTTAAATTAAGTAAGTTTTTGAAAAATATTAATATTTTTTGAAGGTCATGAAATATTTTTTAAATGCAACTTTTATAATTAGGACCTTCATCAGCACAGCAACTTCATCAGCACAGCAACTCAAAGAGCCTCTTACAACGCAGAATATGGTTCAAATTTAGCAGAATATAGGACTTTCAAACAATGGGATGAGAAAACTTGGATCGGCACTAAATCAAATCAGTCCTATCAGATTGGTGGAGCCAAGTTTTCAGCAAAAATTCGCTCAAGCAGGCCAAAAACTTTGTGATCACTTCACTGTGAGCAGCATCACTCTTGCTGAAAACAATCAAATATCCCAAGTTGTGCATTGTCAAAACCTCAGTAGTCTTAGTGATGTCTTCTTAGCATCAAGAAAGATGACAGATTCTGCAACTTTGAAACTAGGGATTGATGGTGGAGGATCTTTTTTGAAAGTCAGCTTCACACACATCATTGTGGATGAAGGTGAGACACCGCCACATAGCCCACTGCAGAAAACAATCAAATTGATGTCTCCACAAACAACTAAATCAACAAGTGTCAAGCAGCAACTACTGGTAGCAATTGCACAAAACACTCCAGAGAAATACCATAATGTGAAGGCAATTTTTGACCTCATCCAAGTACAAGAGAAATGTCAGATGGATTCTCTGGTCATATCATGTGACCTAAAGTTGGCAAATATTCTGTGTGGCATTCAATCCCATAGCAGCAAACACCCATGTTGTTGGTGTGATGTTTCGTCTTTAAACCTCCAAAACTGTGGAAGTCCTCGAACTTTTGGCGAGATTAGGAGACAACATTTTGAATTCATCAACGCAGGAGGAGATACAAGAAAATCAAAGGAGTTCAAAAATGTCATTCACGTACCATTGGTTGATTTTCCTGATCACAAGCTTGTGCTTGAAGCTATTCCTCCAATGGAGCTTCATTTGTTACTTGGAGTAGTAAACCATTTGTATAAAAATCTTTGCAAAGTTTGGCCAGGGGCCGAGAAATGGCCAGCTTCACTTCATATTCCTATTCAGCCCTACCATGGTGGACATTTCAATGGGAATGACTGCATGAAGCTCTTGAGAGGTTTAGACAAGTTGCAATTGGTCACAGGATACAACAATTTTAGTCAAGCTCATGACTTCATGCAAACACTTGCACTATTTAAGGATGTGGTCATTTCTTGCTTTGGCAATAATTTGGATCCTGATTATGAATCGAAGATCTTCAAGTTCAAACAAAGCTACATCCGCCTACCCATTTCAGTTACTCCAAAAGTACATGCAGTGTTTTACCATGTACCTCAGTTCATCAAAATCAAGAAAACAGGATTGGGTCTCTTCAGTGAGCAGGCAACAGAAGCTCTGCACTCCAATTTCAAAGTTCATTGGGAGAGATACAAACGAGATTCCTCACATCCAGACTATGCCAGCCAACTCCTGAAGTGTGTTATCGAATACAACAGCAAGAAAATCCTAAGAATACTCTTAACAGATTTGTGATATTTTAGTGCCTTTATTTTGTTCCAGATGATTCGTCTCTAGAGAGCATTATAATTTTTAATGGAATTATAGAAATTGTTGTTTATCTTCTAAATGCGATTATTAAGAAAATAAATGAATAAAATAAAAAAGCTCCCAATTTATGTTTTTAACATTTTTTGTTTTATGATAAAAAATCAGAAATGTATTTTTGTACTACAAATAGGCTGCCAAATGTTGCTTAAAATTCTTATTTTCTTCAAAACTTCAAGGTAAAAAATCTCCATTGGATGTTAATGCAGGATTTCAAAATCACTCTGTATGGCCATCCATTGTTATGTACTATCCCCCCTTAAAAGGGTTTTCATAGGGTATTTCATTGATATTAGGGTCCCAAATTTACAAACCGTGAATCTTGAAAAAATAACATTCTTTATCATAAACAGTTTGGTTTTCGTAAAAACTATTCCACGGACAGGCAACAATTGATCTTGCGAATCAAATTTTGAATAGTTTTTAAAACAATAGTCACATTCTCGGAATTTTTCTAGATTTATCTAAAGCATTTGATACTGTAAACATCAAGATTCTTATCTATAAACTACGCAATTATGGAATAGTTCACTCTAACTTAAAGTGGCTGCAATGTTATTTAGAAAATTGTAAACAATGAGTTTAACAGACACACAATTTGAATCAATAAGTTGCGGTGTAATACAAGGATTAACACTTGGACCTTTGCTATTTTTAATTTACATAAATGTTGAAAATATGAAAAAAGTAAAACCTATTGATTTATTTGAAAGAACTATAAAAAAATACTTACTAAATTTAAACAATACACATACACTATTTCATTTTTTTTAAAAAAGAAGTTTTATTTTATAATATATCTTTCTTGTTGATTTTGATAGTCTGTTTCAATTTTGTATAAAAAATATAAATAGATAAATTTAAATATTCAAAATGTTTTGCATCTTCTTAAATTTTAAATCTCTTTTAAATATTCAAATATATATAAATAGATATTACGGATTATATTGAATATGTCTACGTATGCACAGCGAAATTTCCATAGTTCCACTTACAATTTGTACATATAAATAAATTCTCAAAAAACAGGCGAAGTTTCTATAGTTCCATCAAAGGTAATTCTTTATAATTTTAGTTCTAAATAATGATTTTTTAAGTAGTTTAGTTTTTAATAATGTGTACTACCACCTTTTAAACTAATTAATTCGAAGATTCGGTTTTTTAAACTTTTTATATGATTTTCCAAACAAACTTTTGAAATACTGTTCCATGCTTGTTGGATAGATGGTTCAAGTTCTTGTATTGTATTATACTGTCGAGAATTTCCATATATAGTTCGCGCCAATATTCCCTATGAATTTTCAATAGGGTTAAAGTCAGGTGAACATGATGGCCAATCCAAAACATTTATATTTTTTCCTGGAATCATTTTTTTACACGTCATGTCGTGTGAATCGTCCCGTTATCTTGTTGGAAAATCCAGTTCTCAGTGGGAAACCTTCACTAAACTCTATTAAAACATCTTCTAAAAGATCTACGTAATTTCTTGCATTTATTTTTAAATGCAAGAAATTACGGAGACCTTTTAGAAGATATACTGGAATTTTGCCGTAGAAACAAAGTGCGGCCCACACCATAACTGTCCCTCTTCCAAAGTTACGACTCATAGATATGTTATCTTTTTTTTTAAATCATGCCAATAATACTTAAAACCATCAGGCCCATCTAAGTTAAACTTTTTTTCGTCGGAAAAAATAATATTTTCTCATTCTGCATCCCATGTCATATAGTCCTTTGAAACTTAAATCTTGCACTTTTATGTTTTTTTGTCAATGATCATTCTTTTCTATTAGAATCGTCCTGATTTTGACAAAATTTGTTGGACACGTCTTGTAGTCACAGGTAATTCAAGCTCAGTCTTATTTGTCGTGCTGTTCGTACTCCGCATGACGCCAAACACAAAATGGAAGAATGTTACCTTTGGTTGTTTTTTTATTTCCGTCCTTAACGTGATTTTTGTTGTAATTATTACCTAAGTTTATAAAATTGTACACTGCATGATCGGGCCTTTTTATTTTCTTTGCAATTTGTCGATTGGACAAACCCATATCTTTGTAAGCAACAAATTTCATAATGTCGTTAAGGAAGGAGGCGTGAAATTCACTTTAGATGCTCTACCGCGGTATTGTGACCAACTTTTTAAACTTATTTAAATTAATATAATTAAAAATAAATAAATTGTAAAAACAAACTTTTCTTGACCTTCCTATTTCCCCTTGTCAAAAATTGACAAATATTTTCAATTTTCTTCCTCCTATTTTGTTGACATAATTAATGGACATATCCTAAATATGTTTAAAATAACTATGTCTAAATTTTAATACAGTAGTATTATGAAAGAGTAACTTTACAAAACATAATTTTGCTTTTATTTTGCAGTGTTTTTTTTAATATTGATGTGTAAATGGTTATTGCTAATATATCGGGTAATATACATTATATTCAATTAAAAAAAACATGTATATTTGAAGGTTTATTAGAGATGGAATTGTTTCAAGGTTCATTAACTTCTAAAACTTAAAGAGTATTAATAATACGAAAAAACCATAAAAAACGTGTTGTAGGAGTGCTGCTACAAAAATTTTTGCTTACAAAAAAAAAATGTTTTTTTTTTTTTTTTTGCTTAAGGCAAAAAAAATGTGTTTTTTTTAAGCAAAAAGTTTTGTAGTAGGCTTGCAGTGAACCTACATAGACATTTTGATCGGTTCATTTTAGTTTACTTTAGAGATTACTTGGTGGAACATTTGTGGTCCCGCTAAAGGTGGCTAGCTATTTTTGGCAGGTGCCACTAATGGTCCAATAATTAGCTGGCAAGCAAAACTGTAAAGTGGACCGCTCCAAAAAAGAGCGCTCGCTTTGTAAGCGAGAGGTTCGGAGTTCGACTCCCACCATGTCCCTGGAAGTACCGCGCTCAACTTAATTTCTCCGCGCAGTGGCCTTGCTTGTCAAGGTTCGTGTTTCGGAGTTAAAGAGTTGAGAGAGAGTTGTACCATGATTTACAACAAAAAAAAAAAAAAATGAGTAGCCTCCTCGACTGTAGTGGCCCCCACGGGCCTTGGGGAGGTGAATAATTAAAAAAAAATTAAAAAAAAATGCCAATATAGATCCACTGAAATTCCTCTATAGAATGTTTTCAGAAAAATAAAGCTGGTTATTGCATGGTAGTTCGACTTGATCTTGTCAAAACCATACCATCTGTAGCTCGGTGAGAACAAATTTTTAGATAGACTTTTTTTGATTTTTAAACTTATTAATTACAAGCGCTAAGACGGATTTTCTCACTCTATCAGGATTCATTTGGCATTGGAGGCTCAAGCTCAGTTGATTGAATGATGCAAACAGGAGATGGTTTTTGTGCAGAATCGTATATTTTAGCTCAGTTTATGTAAAAAAATATTCATTCGAAGTTTAAAATCTAGGTTTTTTTAAAAAAATATTTACAAAGCTATTAGGCATCAGGCGTAAACTTCCTGATTACATGCTTTTCCGCAACGCTCTGTAATTTTGACAGTTAAAATTTCTCTCAGCATCAACTAATAATAATAATAACCTATACAATAATGCTAAACTTAATAGTAGTAG